TCTCTTTATTTCCCCAATAAGCAGGCATTCCCCTGAGAGGTAGGCGTTTTAGTTCCCTCCCAGAGCTGAGGAGACGGAGGCTCAGAGACATCTGGCCACTGGCCCAAAGCCACACAGCAAGGAGACACTGGAGCCAGGATCCCAACCCAGGTTTCCTCACTGTGTCTCCCACTGAAAATACACACAAGCAGCTGGGGCACACCCCTGGCCCCACCCCCACCGCCCCTGCCGCTGGGCTCAAGGCCCTGTCTCTTTCAGACCTGGGTCCTCTGGAAACACTGTAAAGACTGTATTCAGGTCCAGACCAACTTCACTAGGTAAGAGGGGGTGCCTTCTCTCCCTCCAGCAACTCCTGGGGCTCCCCGTCCCCAGCTAGTGCATGCTCCCCCCAGCTTCCCGGACAGGGTGGCCCTGGGCTGCCGGTTGGTCTGGGAGTGGCCCCAGGTGCCCGCTAGGACTGCGTCTGCTAAAGGCCCAGAGCAAACGGGATCTGGCTTTGGGGGAGAGGGGCCACCCCAGATGCAGCGGCGGTGAGGGCTAGGCACCCCAGGAGCCGGCCAGGCTGTGTGGGCAGAGTGTGGCATCTCCCCCAGGTGTGGCCTGATGCTGACCCTGGCCACAAACCTGCTGATGTGGGTCTTGGCCGTCACCAATGACTCCTTGCACCGTGAGATCGAGGCGGAGCTCAATGCCCTCATGAAAAAGTTCTCAGGTACGAAGAGACCATGCCCCACCCCCACCACTGAATGGTTCATGTGTGCTCGCGCACACTCGCACCCCCACTCCCTCCGTCTGGCGAGGCTCAGTGAGTCTGTAGAGTTTCAAGCAAACTCCAGAGGCTGGACCATGACTAAACAGAACGCAGACGTTTGCCAGTGGTACCCGTCCTGCCCCCTCTGTGCCTGCCCCATCGGGTGCTGGCACCCCGCACCCCTACTCCAGGCTCCCAGCTAGCTGTCAGCAAGCTGGCCACTAATCCTGGCTGAGCTACGCACTGATAAGGTCAGGTAAGCACCCCACCCCTGGTGTTTGCATTTTACTTGCAACAAACTAAAAAGCCATGATTCCTGGACGTATCAGAAGGGCCGGCAAATTTCTGGGGAGAAAGAACCCCCCACACTGCTCCATGTGCCCAATCCCCACCTGTACGGTCTGCCCCTTAGAGGCTGTGTCCCATAAGCCTGCGTGGGCACATCTCTATCTGGGGGTTCAGCCACACCTGTGTGTATACCTCCCTCCCCCCGAGGGCATCGCCATCCTGACCTGTGTACAGCCAGGCCTTCCCAGCACACACGTGCATTTACACACCTGCCGCCTAAGTCACGGACGCCTGCGCAGTGCTCACGCTTTCCCCCCGCAGACGTTTCTCAGAGGGGCTGTGCAGAGAGAAGTTTTTGCAAGTACCACCATAGATTATTATTAAAAATTCAAACATAGAGATGGGTAGAACAAGATATAGCCATCACCCAGGCATCACATGCTTCACAGAAGCTTGACACATGAAGCCTGGAATCCTTCGGTAAAGGAATGGCCTTCCTGTAACTTGTGATTTCTGAGTGTGCTCTCTGGGCCTCAGTTTCCACACCTGTGAAATGGGTGGCTTACTCCAGGGGATGAAAGGGACTGATCTGTGCAGCTGGTTTCCTCAGAGCCAGGCCCGCCTGCCCCCTCCCCCAGGCAACGACACCAACACCTGCCTGTGCCTCAACGTCACGGTGTGCGAGGTCTTCCGGAAAGGCTACCTGATGCTCTACCCCTTCAGCACCGAGTACTGCCTCATCTGCTGCGCCGTGCTCTTCGTCATGTGGAAGAACGTGGGCCGCCGCCTGGCCCCCCACGCGAGCGCCCACCCGGGCGCCCCGTCCTTCCACCTGCACGGGGCCATCTTTGGGCCGCTGCTGGGCCTGCTGGCCCTGGTGGCCGGCGTGTGCGTCTTCGTGATCTTCCAGATTGAAGCAAGCGGCCCCTCCATCGCCCGCCAGTACTTCACCCTCTACTACGCCTTCTACGCAGCGGTGCTCCCCAGCATGAGCCTGGCCTGCCTGGCGGGCACGGCCATCCACGGGCTGGAGGAGCGAGAGCTGGACACGCTCAAGAACCCCACCCGCAGCGTGGACGTGGTGCTGCTCATGGGGGCCGCCCTGGGCCAGATGGGCATCTCCTACTTCTCCATCGTGGCCATCGTGGCCACGCGCCCCCACGAGCTGCTCAACCGCCTCATCCTGGCCTACTCGGTCCTGCTCATCCTGCAGCACATCGCCCAGAACCTCTTCATCATCGAGGGCCTGCACCGGCGCCCGCTCTGGGAGGCGGCTCCCGGGGGCCTGGCGGAGAAGCCGGAGGCCGAGCCCCACCGCAGGGGCTCCCTGCTGGAGCTGGGCCAGGACCTGCGGCGGGCCTCGCGGGCCTACATCCACTCCTACAGCCACCTCAACTGGAAGCGGCGGGCGCTCAAGGAGATCTCGCTCTTCCTCATCCTCTGCAATATCACAGTGAGTGGTACCCGGGAGGCCTAGGGGCGGAGCTGGCCCAGAGATCCTCATTCAGGAAGGGCTGGTTCAAGGCGCACCCATTGCACACTGACTGTCCCAAGGGTGATTGGCTTGTCCCTTTGATTGTCAAGGACACATGCCGCTTTCCAACCGGCTCTATGACACGTGAGAGCAGAGAGTGGCCCCCAGCTCCCTGCAGGGTCCCTGGCACAAATGAGCGTGCCACGGGCACAGCCAAGTGCACTTCATACAGCTCCCTGTCCAGCTGGGGAGACACCAGGAAAACAATTAGGGAATTGCCAAATAATGAACTGTCCGCTGAATTCAGTCCAAGGAAGAGATCAGAAAGTGCCCGGTTCTCTAGAGAGCTCCTGGTAGGTGTTGAGGATGGTTGCTCCGTCCCATGTCCCCGTCCCCAGGCAATAGCTCAGCATCTCGTGGTTCGTCACAGTCACCATGCAGCAGGCACCACTGCTGCCCTGGTTCACAGACGAGGAACCTGAGGCTTGGGTCGTTTGCCCTGCCGAGGTCCTGCCGCCTAAGTGGCAGTGATGGGCAACTCAGGGCTGTTTGAGCTCCTGTTGGTAAGGACAGCGCCGGAAACACACCTCCGGCCAGCAGTGCTGACACCCCTGGTCCAGGCAGACAACAGGCCTGACTTGGCCCTACAGAGCAGTCGGGCCTCCAGGCAGGACGTGTGGGCCCGAGTGGCCAAGGAGGCTTCCTGGAAGTCTGACCTGGGCCTGGAGAAATGGGTCAGAGGCAGAGCCAGGGTCGAGGGGCAGAGACCAGCTGAAGGATGAAGCAGGAGAAGAAGGTGGTTGAAATCAAGGCACAGGGGTACCAGCTGGGCAGAGCAGGTTGTACCACGGGGGGTGGCACTGGGGGTCTCGTGACCCATCGGAGTTCGGCTGAGGTGTGAGGGGTCAGGAGGGACAGGGCTGCTCTGAAGGCCAAGGGTGAGGAGGTGCTGCAGGAGCTGTGGCGCCGGGCCTGCCTCCCCTGAGCCCAGTGCCCCCTCCCCTCCTCTCCCCTCCCCTCCCCTCCCAGCTGTGGATGATGCCTGCCTTCGGCATACACCCCGAGTTCGAGAACGGACTGGAGAAGGATTTCTATGGCTACCGCACGTGGTTCACCATCGTCAACTTCGGCCTGCCGCTGGGCGTCTTCTACCGCATGCACTCTGTGGGGGGGCTGGTGGAGGTCTACCTGGGGGCCTGAGGCTGCCCAAGGAACCCACCCCTGGCAGAACCCCAAAAGGCCAAGGCTGGGAGAATGTAGCCCGGAGTCTGAGCAGAGGCCCCATTCCCAGGGGCACTTGGTGCAGCCGGGGCTCCCCCAAAGCCTCCTTTTCCCCAGAGCCTCGCTCAGGGGAGTACGGGGGGGGGGGGGGGCAGAGTGTGGGTTACTGTTCACAGCCCAAGACCAAGGGCAAAGCCTGGATGCTTCTGATGCCCGCACTGAGGACAGGGTGCATACCTGCCCCTGCTCACTCCTCCCCACCCCACCCCCACTCCCGCCCCCAGGAAGCCCACAGCTACTCCGGGAGGGCCAGCCCTAAATGACTGAGTCTGGGGAGCTTGGGGAGGGGCGCCCCTACCCAGCCAGGCTCTGGGGTCTGCGTCCTGCTGGAGGAAGGGCGTGAGGTCCAAGCGCTGCCAGGGCACCCTGGGAGCAGACAGCTCGGCAGGCAGCTGCCCTTCCACCTAATGAGCTCACTAATTAGCTGCCAGGCAGGGCTCAACAGCCCTCTCCCGCTGCCATAAACTCTGCTTGCTTGATTGATTACGTTCGGGCTGCGTGGCATTTGTTCCCAGGGACAGGCTGCCACCCGGGTATGGTGGGAAGGGACTGTCCTGGACAGGGCTGTGGGGCTGGACAGTCTTGTTTCGGGGCCAGCAGAGGTCGAAACCAGGTCTTGTCTGATCCATGGGAGGAGGTGGAGAGAGAGGGGCCAGGGCTCTCAATGCCCCCACCCCCCACCCACGCTAAGCACACTCTCTCTGACACTGAGCCCCAGGTGACTTCCGGAGCTGGCTCCCTACAGGGCCGTGGCCGTGGCTGCGCGTCCCCAGGCCTGCTGGTCCTCTGAGCCATCAGGAAGAAAGGGCGGAGGTGACAGCCCATCCATCTCCCTGAGCCCAGTGCAAACACCAACCGACCAGGCCCAGGGCGAGGCGGGTGAGGCCCAGAGAGGGTGGCCCCAGGCCCCTCCCCGTGAAGCTGAGCCCTGGCAAGCACAGGGCCAAGGCCCCAGGACACCCCCACCCCCTTTCAGTGGCTGCCTGGGGCCAGCAGAGCCCATGGGGGTCATGCCCGAAGCTTGGAGGTAGGCCCTTCCCCTCTCCTGTGGGCTCTTTCTCTGTGCGGCCACAGCCCAGGGGTCCAATTCTCCAGCCCCCTGACCCCCAAGAAAATGACCAACACTGGTTCCCAGCAGGCACTTAGGCCCCCTGGGGATTGACTCTGGGAGGCAGAATCCTCAGCTCCCCTCTGAGCACAGAGAGCCAGGGCGTGGACAGCGGTTTATTGTGTGAAGTGGCCGATTGTACACAGCAGAGATTGTACTGACACAGGAGGGGTGAGGGGGCCAGAGGCCAGAGCCTGGAGGCCGGAGGGGAGGCTGGAGGGGTGGCGTCCTGCCCCCCCACAGGTCCTCCAGGCAGTGGATGGGGGTGAGGAGGACTGAACAGCTGCCCCCTCCTCGTTCCCTTTGCCCCCGTTACTGGATATAAGATGGGGCCAGGCTATATCCACCGACCAGGCAGAATATAGCAGGATACCCTCGACACCCCATGCCAAGCCCCTAAAATGCATGGGGTCCCCCAGCCTGGCTTCTGCAGCCAGCCAGCCAGCCCCCAGCCTCCACAAGCCCCCAGGCCACACACCCTCCGCCCTCAGGCCCTGGCAGTGAGCCAGGCTGCACAGGTGGCTTCCGGTAGGAGCTAAGGCCCCCTCACTGCCCAGGGGCCCCAAGAAACAGCCCACGGCTCCCTTTTAGGCAACGCAGAGGGCACAGGAGGCCTCAGTGAGTGGCAGGGAGCTGGGCGGGCACCGAGTCAGCTTAGAGACAGGCCTTGAGGGGAGCAGAGGGCGGTGGGGCTCTGGCCAGGGAGACAGGATGCTCCAGGAGTGGGCGGGGGGAGTTCAGGGAAGGTCAGGCCGATCCCCAGCATCCCAGCCATAGGGGCCTCCGGGAGCTGCCACCCAGGGCTCCGTCACTCTGCCAGCCCCCCACCCTGATCATAGTAAGTTAAAGCTCAGAACGGTCAGTGGGTCGAGGTGTGGGGAGGAGGATGGGCGGACCGGGGCCCCCCACCCTCTCCCAGCCCCTGTTCCTTGTAGATTTCCATCCTCACACCCGCTGGATCTCAAACAGCTTCACGTCGGTGTCATACCAGACAGGCGGGTCCACATTCCTGCAGAGGGAGTGGGCTGTCACTGGGCCCTGGGAGGCCTCGCAGTGATACCGCCCAGACCCCTCCCGCCCCAATGCCCGTCCCAATGCCCCACCCTGGGCCCGGGGTGCCCACCCTCAACCAGACAGGGCCACCCCCGTTAACTGTCTTGACATTAACCATTAACCCCACTACGATGGGGGACCCGGTGCTGAGACCCCGATGAGCCCCACGGGGCAGACGCTCAGGTGGACGCCAGACCCACCCAGCCGGCGGCTGTCCCACCCTCCCGGCGCCCACCTCAGGTAGATGACGCCCCACATGTAGGTGCGGAACCACATGGCCGTGCCCGCGTTGGCCTGGTACTTCCGGATGAGGATGGGGTGGGGCACGGGCAGCAGCCCCACCAGGGTGCCGTGCTGCAGGAACCGCAGGATCTCCGACTCGTCCGTCAGGCCCCTGTCAGGGATGGGGTGTCTCCAACACGCTCACGTGGAAAGCCCACCATGCAGGTCAAGGGGAGCAGGGGGCTCACCCTGGACCCGCAAGACCCGTGCCCCCGTCATACCCCCACCCGAGCCTGCACTGGCCCCTCCTCAGAGCCCACCTGTCCCCGCAGCCCCACCCTCACCCCCCAGAGCCTCACTTGTCAATGCAGATCTTCTCCACCTGGGGCACCAGCACCTGCAGCAGCCGCATGATGGTCTGCAGCGGCAGCTTCGCCTTCCAGGAGAGGACCTGGGGGAGGGACAGGGCTCCTGGGGCTGGGGAGCCTGACCCTGACCCTGACCCAGAACTGCAGGCTCCCCAAGGCCAGGTGTGTCCCAGGTCACACAGCAAGGCCTGGACGGGCCGCGCCCCTGAACAGTGACCATTCTTCATGGTCAGTGTGAGCACCTACTATATGCCAGACCCTGTCCCCTTGGACCTCACAACGGCAGCTCACAGGAGTGTTTATACCCCCATCAGCGCCATGAGTGTGGCCTCAGGACGCACAGGGATGGGCACTCCAGGGGGGAGCTGGAAGCGTGATCCAGTAGGAAAATCAGTCTGTGGGCAACGGAAGCTCCCCCCGAGGCAGAGGGAGGCAAGGCCACCCGGCCAGGAGGCTGGTCCCCAGCCTGGCTCCCGGGCCAGTCCTGGGCCTTGGACACCTTCCCACCGAGGCTTTACTGAGCTGTGGCTAGTCCCAGGGCCCCTGACCCAGTCCCCACATGGGTGCCACCTGCCCAAACCCTCACCCACTCCGACGTGGGGCTCCACTGCCCACTGGCTGACGCGCTGGACAGTCGCCGCTGCTCCCGCCACGTCTGGCTGGGCTCCTGGTCCCAGGAAAGGGGTGGGAGTGAGGGTGGGAGGCATGCGTACAGGGTGAGGGCAGAGGGCAGAGTAGCGGCCCCTCTTCCAGCCCATCCCACAGTCTGGAACCCGGGAGGTCAGTGGGATCTCCCCACTGGCCCGGAAACATGGGGGACTCACCCCCACCTGAGGGCCAGCCCAGCCCCACACCCTTTGCCCTGGGCCCTGGGCCCCAGGCCCTGCCCAACCCAGCCCAGCTGGTGACAGGTTTAGGGTAAAGGCCAGCCCGGCCTCAGATAAGGCTGATGGATGAAGAGTCTGAAGGCCAAGGGCTAAGCCCATGACCAATAAAAAAGGGAAGGTCTGGGAAAGCCCCCCACAGGGACTCAGCGGGGTGCCTGCCCCCGCTGCTGCGGGTGACCCAGGCTGCCCAGGCCGGGCCCCACCTCCGAAGCCAGAGCCCCATGCCCACCTCCTCAGCTGGACTGCCGTCCGCGGAGCTCTGGGGGGGCGCAGGCTCCAGGGACCGCAAGGTGCCATCCTCGGACACCTGGGACTTCTCCGTCAGCTTGTCAATGCCTGGGGGGCCAGGTGGGCGTGAGGACCCCTGCCCAGCGCCCTCCCGCAGCATCCCCACCGGGCCCCACCCCCTCCCCTCCAGGCTTCCTCTCCCCCCGACTTTAGAGCCGCTGTGCCTGATCCCCCAATGCCCCCACCCCTGGCCGCACCCCTCCCAGAGCCCACACCCAGACGTGAGGCCAGTGCCCCTCTGGACTCCAGCATCTCTGCCCCCCACCCCCACCCTGCCGCCTCAGCTGCCATCCCCACCGATTCAGTTTCCCATGCCCTTTGCCAGAGATGGGGTGACACACCCCAAAGACCCTGTCCAGCCCCCACCCATGCCGGTGTCCACACCCTCCGCCACCCGCCAGCGCCAGACCTGGGGTGGCCACCAGGCTGGTCTTGAGGGTGCCCGGCTCGGCGGGGGCGGCCGGGCGGGAGCCCTCCATGGAGGCGCCCTCCTGGGAGCTGGTGCGGGACAAGGGCTCGGGCGCTTTCCGGCGCCGCTGCAGGGCCTTGTGGATGGCGGGCGGGTCGGTGGGCAGGTTGGCCAGCTGGTGGAAGACGCTGCGCTTCCGGATGATGGCGTAGACCAGGTTGGAGTTGCCTGTGGGGAAGGAGCACCATCTCACAAGAGGAAACTGAGGCTCAGAGAGGTTATGCGAAGGCCCTAATTTACACCAGGCAGCCCGGCACCTGTGACACCCATCCAGGTCGTGCCAGTCAGAACGTCCCTCTCCCCAGAGTAAGATGATCTGTCCGTGTGGCCATCTGTTTAGAGTCGCCCTCCCCCTCCATCCCAGCTGTGAACGCCATGGGGCAGGGAGCAATCTGCTTGGTTCTCCACCGCGTCCCCCGCACCCAGCACAGGGCTGGGTACACAGCAGGTGCTCAATAAATGCACGTTGGACAAACCGGGGACTGGGGCGGGGGGCAGAGGACTGTTAACTCTTAGACAGGGAGGTATCCTCGCCCACGGCCCACCCACCTCCTGCCCCCGAGGCCAGGGGGCGGGGGTGGGGCCTCACCGTCGAACTGGTACTGGATGATGTTGTTGAAGACCTCCAGCAGGAAGAAGACCAGGTGGTGGTTCTGCGCGGCCGAGAAGAGGAACCAGGTGGTGGAGAAGGCCTCCAGCAGGTGCAGCAGCTTGTTGGCCGCCACCATGGACAGGCTCTTGAGGTAGGGGGACACTGCAGGAAGGGCTCGGCTTACCCCTGGGCCCCCCAGCCGCCCGGGCACATCCTGGACCTGAGCAGGACAAGGTGCTCCTGCTCCCAAGCCCTCCCCGCCGCCCCCCGCAAAGCCCCCGAAAAGCCAGGAAGAGGACACCCCCAGAGGCCCAGGCCACCCTGGCCGTGACTTCTGCAGAGCCCCAGGGAGCAGTTTAGCTCCGCCCCGTCCCTCCACCGTGTGGACAGCTGTTCTGTTTACAAAACCACTCACACGCGCCCTCCCGCCCACTCCTCCCCACACCCCTGCGCGGGAGGCGGGACACGGATGAGGCCATCCCCATTTTACAGATGGGGACACTGAGGCTCAGAGAGGTACGTAAACTTGCCGAAGTTCCCCAGCTGTAAAATGATTGGACAGGAAAACAAACTCAGGACCGTTAGGTCTTGCTAGCACATCAAAGTGATAATCTCCATAGAATTAAACACATATTTGTGGCATAGCCTGTGAGGGGGGATCAGATGATAGAAAGGCCCTTGCATTTCTATCCATGGGAGTGGCGGGCAAGTCAGCCTGTGGCCCGGCGCCACCTGGTGGTGAGCAGCGGGAAGGCGGTTCCGGGGCCCCCTACCGTTCACCACGATGGTGAGCAGGCAATCGAAGAGGGGCTGCAGCCGCTGGTGCCCACTGGTGATGATCTTATGGAATACCTGTGCGGGGGAGCAGAAGGGCGGTCATGGGGTGCCCTCTGCCTCCAAACTCAGCCCAGAGGACACCGCCCCCATGCACCCAGGGGCCCGCTTACCACAATGAGCAGGTCAGCATGGGTCCCCGTGAAGACCGGAATGTCCATGGGCACGCGCACTGAGTAGGGCTTATTCAGCCGCACCCCGAAGTTCCGCTCCCCGCTCAGAAGCAGCAAGATGAAGACACCAATGTGCATCAGGCCCACCCGAGCTGTGACAGGTGGCGTGGGAGGGGTCACCAACAGGGTGGGAGGGGAGGAAGGGAGGCAAGGGGCAGGGACCATCCTGGGGGGTCTGAGCTCCTGGGAGATGGATGGACTGGCCGGACCACCCCTCTTCAAGGACCCCCCCCATCCTGTGCCCCTTTCATCCAATGCACACCCCTCCTTACACTGATCTGCTCGGGCATCGTTGAGGAAGTAGAGGATGGGGACCAGGATGTCCAGCACATCGCTGCTCTTCAGCACAAAGAAGAGGAATTTCTGGGGGAGGGAGGAGGGGACAGGCAGGCAGGGTCAGAGGGAGGGCCAGCTCCGCCCACCCTTCCCCTCCTGGGAGTCTCCCAGACCCTGTGCCCATCCCTGGCCTGGCCCAAGTAGCTGCTCCTCAGAAGGGCAGGCCGCTGCCCGCAGGCTGGCCCTGCAGCCGGCCCACCTTGTTGAAGTCGCAGAGCTTCCAGAAGAGGACCAGCAGCTCCTGGTGGAACTGGATCTTCTTGGTGGAGTTGGGCAGGTAGGTCTGGAGCAGGGGGTTGGACAGCAGCCGGGCTATGCCCTTGAGGATGAACTGGAAGTCCTGGGAGGGAGAGCAGGGGCCGTCTAGTCCGGCTCCCTACAAAGGCCTCTCCCTCCCCCAGAGCCTGGCCCCACCCGAAAGCCCAAGGGGCCCAGATTCCAGCGTCGTCCATGGCTGTCCTGGGTGAGCCCCTCAGGAAGCCAAGTCCAAGGCTGGCCTGGAGGGGCCCCTCCCTTCCGCCAAGAGGGGTCATTCGCTGAGCACCTGCTCCCCGCTGGGCTGTGCTGTGCTCACTCAATCCTCACAAGGCCAGGGAATAGCTCCGGGCCCCATGTTACAGCTGCTGAGGGCAGGGCTTTGGGATCACATCAGACACAGGACCTTGGGTCTGCCTGGCCTTTAGGTCACTGCATTCCCCTCCCTCGACCTTTGAGAAACTTGCCATCACAGCCACCTCCTCCTGGAAGCCTTCCCAGTTACCCTCACCCGGTTGAGGCCATTGGCCCTTTCTGCAGATTGAAACCCTCACAGTCCTACGGTCACTATTTCACTGCAGTGGCCAGAGACCATGGGGACTATGGTTCCTTTAGGTAGGGGTCAGGACTCCCCCAGCCCCATCTCACTGCGCCCCCTACCCCCTGCAAGGCCATGACCCTGTGGGGTGGGCATCGAATCCGCCCCGAGCAAGAGCAGCGCTAGACTCACCTCCTCGCGATGGATGCGGGACAGGTAGTTCACAAACAGGTTCTCGGGACCTGGAGGCTGCTGAGGGTGGAGCTGGGGTGAACAGGTGCCCCCACCCTCTGCGCTGACCCCAGGCCTCGGCAGCTGGGCCCCCTCGACCCCCAGGCTCACCACAAGGTGCCCCCTGGGTATCCCTCGCCCAGCTCAGCGAGGGGGGGTGCCACCTGGCCAGAGGCCCCGCCCTCCCTCTCCTGTTCTTACGTCGACGTCGTCCATGGCCGTGCCCGTGGTGGTGCCGTCCACGGTGGGGCTGGCGCTGGAGGCGCTGTCGTGGTCCAAGGTGACGATCAGCACCTGGGCGGCCTCCTCCACCAGGGGTTCCCGGTAGTCGGAGAAGAGCAGGTGGTTGTAGGGGATCCCGTAGCCCACAGGGTCATAGGCACACACGGTGTTGAGCAGGGAGGTGAAGAGGGGCAGGGCGTGTCTGCAGGGAGAGGAGCGAGGGGCCTGCAGCGACCCCCCCAGGCCCAGCCCTCCTCCATCCCCACAGTCATCCCCTCCTTCAACCCGGGTTTCAGAGCCCGCTCTGGGCAGGGCCGGGACGCAGAGCCGGGAGCCCGTCCCTTCCTGTAGAAGGAGCCCTCCTGGTCTTCCTGCCTTGGGACCCGGACCCGGACCCGGACCCGGACCGCACTGGCTGGGCCGCGGCGGGAGGAATTTGTTCCCCAGATGGGACGGCCAGTCAGGCGGGGCTCTTGGTAGGAAACCATGTCCACATCCCTCCGGCTCCTCGCGCCAGGGTGAAGCCTGGTCTTTTTTTATATATACTATTTTTTAGAGCTTCACAGCAAAATTGAAGGCCCCGAGACGTGCCGCTCACCCCTGCCCCACGTATGCAGCCTCCCCCCCCACCCCCGGTGCCCCATCGAGGAGCCTGCACTGACACATGGGAACCACCAAACCCATCGCTTCCATGAGGGTCCGTCTCGGTGCCGGAAAGCCTCCAGCCGGGGCCAGTGGGTGATGATGTGGCCCCTGGGGTTTTGAGGGGCAGGACCCTCCCTCGGGGCTCCGAGAGGGGCTGCTGGCCCACGGGAGGTGAGCCTCCGCTCAGGAAGCCGGGCACACGCTCAGTCGCCCAGTTCCCAGGCCCCAGGTGACGCCATTCAGAGAGCTGTGAGATGTCAGGGTTCAAGCTCCTCATCTCACAGAGGAGGAAACGGAGACCCAGAGAGGGTAAGCGGGTGGCCGTCTGCCTGATAAGGCGGGGGGGAAGAAGACTGGCCGGCCTGCCCCTGCGCTGTAGCTGGTGGAGGAGTCCCCTGGGCTCCCTTCTGGGGGGAGGGGAAGGGAGAGGGGGAGGGGAGGTTGGGCAGGAGGCCAGGGAAATCTGAAGGAGGAGGCGTGCCATGTGGGCACCAGAGTCTGGGAGTGAGGGGATGAACCAGGACCCTTGGGGACACGAACTTGGGTGCTGCCAGCACAGCCCTGGGCACAGCGGGAGCTGCACAGCCGAATGGCCTGTATCTGCTCCAAATGCTCGGTCCGCCATGTGACACCTCTGTACTCAGATGAGCCCCCATGGCCCGTGAGCAAGCGCCCCCCTCGGGCCAGGCTTCCCCATCCTTCAGGGTATATTCATGATGCCCCCTCCTCACCCATTGTCTAAATTGTACTGACACCCCCCCCATAAATAAATAAATAAATAAATAAATAAATAAATAGCACTGCCCAATACAAGCCACATGTAGCTCCTAGGAGCTTAAAACGTGGCTGGTCTGAATTGGGAGGTGCTGTAAGTGTGAACTACACACCTGATCCTGAAAATTCAGCATGAGAAGGGCATGTCACACACCTCAATCACTGCAGATATTGATGACATGTGACATGCTAATGTCTTGGCTAGGTTGGGTTAAATCAAACATATTATTAAAATTAACTTCACCTGTTTCGTTTTTACTTTTTAATGTTGCTGGTAGAAATGTTTAAATTGCATGTGTGGCCCTAACCGGTTTGGCTCAGTGGATAGAGTGTCGGCCTGCGGACTGAAGGATCCCGGGTTCGATTCCAGTCAAGGGCATGTGCCTTGGTTGCAGGCACATCCCCAGTAGGGGGTGTGCAGGAAGCAGCTGGTCAATGTTTCTCTCTCATCGATGTTTCTAACTCTCTATCCCTCTCCCTTCCTCTCTGTAAAAAATCAATAACATATATTTTAAAAATTAAAAAATAAATTGCATGTGTGGCTCGCATAGTAACTAGATGGAGGATCCAGGCACCTGTCACCCAGGGACCCCAACGGGACATTGGACAGCACTGGCTGGCACAGGTGTGGCTGTTACAGGTTATCACCACCAGGGGGCAGCACCTCCCTCAAATAAGACTCCTAGGGCTGGAGCCAGGCCTCCGCTCCTCAGCTCTGCTGCCTGGAACAGGAGGAAGGAAGGAAAGGAAGGCAGGAGGCCCTCACCTGTTCTCTGTGGAACAGAAGAACTGCACCCACGGGTTGGTGCTGCCACTGTCCGGAGCTGGAGGCAGGTACATGGCCTCAGAGAAGCACGTCAGCAGCAGCTTCAGCAGCTCCGTCCTTGGGGAGGGGGTTCAGTTCCTGAGGATCCCGGTTCTCCTCCGGGAGGCCGTGCCCACCCTGCCCAGCCCAGCCTAGCTCAAGTCCATGAAGAGAAATGGCCCATTTTCTCCCCGTGAGGCTGCGGCTGGGTCATGCGTGGGCAGCGTCCCTTTGAGAGGCCACGGCTGGTTCCCTCCCTAGGGCCGTGCAGGGGCCAGGCCTGGGGTCCAGCACGCCACGTGCTCTGGGCCCAAGAAAGCTCACCGGTTCATGTCGTGGACATAGTTGGGCTGGGGCGAGTGAGCAAAGCCCACGCCCGCCTCCCAGATGTATTCACAGCTGTCCAGGGAGTGCATGTCCTCCGCCAAGTCCTGGGGACAGGGTCGGGGAGCGATCGGGCTGGGGGTGGCCAACCTAAGCACCCCCGTCCCTCTTATCACCCCAAAGACAGATTCTCAAACGCCCGGGCGCTAACGCACAGGGAAGAAATGTTATCAGCCTCTTGGAAGCTCACTCCCTCCAGTCTGGCTCTTTCACTTGCTCAGTCCAGTTTGAGACGCAGAGAGAGAGGGAGGGGAATGGAATTGGGTGTGTCTGGTGGTGGGTGGAGATGGGGGGCAGAAAGCACTCAAGGTCAAGTCCATGGGCTGACGGAGAGTGAAAGGGCCAGACCTCCTGTGCCCAAGCCCCACACCCCGCCCACCGCCCAGGCAAAGACAATGGGAGCCTGTGCCCAGCTCCCGGATGCAAGGGGCATGGCCAGGCACCAGGTGGCTCCACTCCAGCTGTGCCAGCCACCACCCCCTCCCTGGGACCATGCAGCCCTGTCCCCGAAACACCCTGCCCTAGAACTTCACTCAGCCCCAACCCAGAGGCCAGAGCCCTCCCAGCCCAGGGGGTGGGGAGTGGCGGGGATCAGCTCTCACCACAGTGCTCCTCCGGTGGCTCTGGACAGTAAAATCTGGGCAGAAGAGCAAGTCAGCAATGGCCAGGAGTAGGGACTCAGCCAGGGGCCGGGCATTCTCGTCATCGTCTTCTCCCTGCTCAGGACACAGCGCCCAGGGCCACCTCAGTGGGAGCTGGCCAAGGAGAGGCGGCCCCAGGACTTGGGGGAAGGGAGGAGGACGGGGTCTGGGCCCAGGCGGTCACTGGGACAGAACCAGAGCGAGGGACCCTCCCGCTGACAGGAGGGGCCAGGCCATGCATGTCCCCTAGACTCTGTGTCTCCTCAGCCCTGAAGATGCCTGGAGATAAACCCAGGCAGAGGGAAGATGGGAGCCAGAGGGAGAGGCCCAGCTGCCCTGCGCCCAGCTGTGCCCAGCTGTATGGGCAGAGACCCGTGGGAGAGGAACTGGGGGCTCAGGGAGAAGGAATCGAGCCCCACTCTCCCTGCCCCGCACTCCCCCAAGCCCGGGGAGGCCTGGAGGAGGGTGGGCGGCCCTGGTTCTTGCCCTGGGCCAGGTTCCCGCCCTGTCACAGCTCCATTGCCCACCCAGCCCCGCCCGCCCGACCAGGCCCTGCCCGGCACAGACCTCTCCTCGCCCCGCCCCGGGCACCGTGGACCAGAAGAAGCCCCTCCAGTCCGGGTCCTCAAAGATGTAAGGCAGCACACGCGTGAGGAGCCGACTGCAGTTCAGGACAATCTGCTTCTCCTTCTCCGAATGGCAGCCACTCTCGGCTCCCTGCACCAGCTTCTCCACAGCCTGTGGGGGGGCAGAGGGGCCCGCTGGGAGGGTGGGAGCAGGGCCCTGCACGTGGCTCGGATGGGCACCCCAGGCTCAGAGCGGGAGGCCCGACCCCACAGGGCCACCCTCCAGATAGGGTCGGCCAGCCCACCACTCATTGGCTGAGATCTTGTTAAGCGACCCCTGACCTGAGCCTCAGTGTCCTTATCTGTAAAATGGCGACACCAACAGTGGCAGCCGCACCGGGCGAGCTAACTGAGCTGACCCGTGGAAAGAGCTCAGCATGCTCTGGCCCGGTCACTTCCCCATGGTCACTTCCCCAGCACCCAGAGCCCGCCAGGCCTCTCGGACCACAGGGCTGGGCCAGCCTCAGTGTCCCCAAGCGGGTGGTGAATGGCCCAGCCAGGGGCCCTCACCTTGTAGCACAGAGTGGCCAGGTTGGAGGGGGACTCCTCCCGCACTGCCCGGATCTCCGCCGCCGGCACCAGCGCAAAGACATCCTGCACCGAGGTGGCCGTGTCCGCCCAGAACTGGTCCCAAAAGGCGTCATCGGTGGCTTCCACGGGCTGTGGGGGAACCCAGTGTCCAGAGTTGCACAATCCTTTGCCGAAGAGCCCATAGTTTGCCCAACATGTCGCCAAGGTAACCCCCAAGAGGTAAGCCATGGCCCCCCTACTCCACCCCTGCTGGTGCCCAGGAGCCTCCCACGTGGCCACCATGAGTCCCAGCCCTCACAGGCAGGCTGGGGCACTTGGCACAGATGGTCAGGGGTCAGCTGGGCATTGAGTCCAGCAGCCGAAGCCTCACCCGGCTCTGAGGGACTGTGTGACCATCCACCTCTCTGGAGACCTTCTCAAACCCCACTGCCTTCAGACTGAGTCCAGACCTCAGCCAGCCAGTCAGCCCAGACCTTGCCTAAACACACCTACTCGCTGCACACCTGCGTACACACGTGTGCACACACACGCATACGCATGCACACACACCTGTATTTGCTGTCCCTCCAACACAGCCATGCCATCTTTTCTCCTAGCCTTTGCTCAGACTGCCCCCTCTTCCCGGCATGCCCACCCCTCCCGACACATTCCAAAGTCCCACCAGCCCTATTGAGGCAATGTGCCTTAAACACGTGTATGCCTTTTGAATGATACAGGCAATCCATGTGAATGGTAATATTCCAGAAATATTTCCCAAGGAAATAGTTATGCGTGTATGAGGATGCCAACTGAAGTGTTATTGTTGACAACAGTAAAAAGTTGGGCTCAATTTAAATAACCAACAATGGGGGAGTGCTTTCAAAAGTGAAGGCACATTCATACAAAGGGATATTATGCAGCCATCAGAATCACGTTTTAAACGAATATTAATGAATACTCACAGGGCCAGGGTAGGTGAAAAAAGGATTAAAAAACGATCACAGTTTTGTGTTAAATTGTATAGTAACAACAGCCTACACAAAAGTGTTAACAGCAAGGATCTCTCTGGGTGGTTTTGTTTTTTCGTTATGCTCTTCTGTAAGTGCAGGACTATTACTATTTTCTTCCTTTTGAATGTTCCTCTGCGGAGGGCCAGGCTACCAGGCTCTCTACTTTCTGAAGAGCGCTTTCTGCGAGAGACCATCCCCCTCGCCCTGTCGCCCAAGGCTCTCCCTTCTCTGCAAAGCTGGCCAAGGGCCCGGCTAGCACCCTGGATCCACACATAGTACTATGCATTACCCTTCTATTGAGAAAAAGAAATACCTTGTTAAAAAAAGAATTCTAAAACTAAAAATGGAACTCCCATTTGACCCAGTGATCCCACTGCTAGGAATATATCCCAAGAAACTAAAAACACCAATCAGAAGGGATATATGCACCCCTATGTTCACAGCAGCACAATTCACCATAGCTGAGATTTGGAAACAACCTAAGTGCCCATCAGCAGATGAGCGGATTTAAAAAACTGGTGCATCTACACAATGGAATACCACGCTGCGGTAAAAAGGAAGGAACTCTTACCATTTGCAACAGCGTGGATGGACTTGGTGGAGAGCATTATGCTAAGTGAAATAAGCCAGTCAAGAAAGATAAGTATCACATGACCTCACTCATTTGTGGAATATAATGAACAACATAAACTGATGAACAAAAACAGATCCAGAGACAGAGAAGCATGGATCAGACTGTCAAACCTCAGAGGGGAAGGTAGGGGAGAGCGGGGGTAAGAGGGAGAGATCAACCAAAGGACTTGTATGCAGGCATATAAGCCTAACCAATGGACACAGACACCAGGGGGGTGAGGGCATGAGCGGGGGTGGTGGGGGCAATGAGGGGATAAGGACACATATGTAATACCTTAATCAATAAAGAAAATAATAACAATTCTGGCCCTAGCTGGTTTGGCTCAGTGGATAGAGTGTCAGCCTGCAGCCTGAAGGGTCCTGGGTTGGATTCTGGTCAAGGGCATTGTACCTCGGTTGCAGGCGCCTCCCGGCCCGGGCCCTGGTTGGGGCACATGCAGGAGGCAACTGATTGGATGTGTTTCTCTCACCTCGATATTTCTCTGTCTTTCCCTCTCTCTTCCACTCTCTCTAAAAATCAATGGAAAAGTATCCTCGGGTGAGGATTAAAAAGAAAATAATAATAAAGAGCCCTGAAATTTGTTTAAATAATAACAACAACAACAATAATAGTGTTTTCTGAAGCCACATCTTGCAAGAAGTCTCCCAGAGCTCTGGACAGATGGGCTTGCTCCCACCTTGGAACCCCACTCCCGACCCACTCACCATAGTCCTGGCTCCACCAGTCTTGAGGCCCCTTTAGTCCACAGCCCCTCCTCCCTGACCTTGCAGCTGAGGCATATGGCAGATGCTCAGGCAACATTTGTTCAGCTAAAGGCTATAATTACTCCTTGAGATCCCTCCAGCCCAGTCACTAGGCAGGGCCGAGGGCCAGTGGGGTTGTCCAAAGTTAGGGCTGGGGTCACAAGCCTCACCGAGATCCAGGTGTACCCAGGCCACTCCCCAAGCAACACCCCTCACTGAGCTATAGGGCAGCGTGTGGCCTCGGCCCTCTGGACAGGCCTGGCACCCAGGCCTGCTCAGTCCCAGAACTGGTAGAGCGAGTTAGTGGGGGAAGGAGGATGGGGAGTGGGAAACAGAGGCCAAAGGAGGGACCCAGCTGGCACCTGGCGCCCTCAGCCAGGACAGCCCTCTGACACTCACTGGGGTCCCTGGGGTACCACAGTGGCCAGGGTGGGGGTGGGAAAGGACATCCCAGAAATATGAAGAGCCCTCCCTCCCCAATCTGGGAGCACCTATGGGAAGCTCTCACCTCGACACCTTCCCCACCTCCCAGGTAACCACTACCCCCTTTAAAGGGGCAGAAACTCATCTCAACACCAAGTAGACTTGGCCTCTGACCTAGTTCATCACGCAAGTGTCCCCAGGGTAGCCCAGCCCCGAAACAGAGGAGCATCCCAGTTGGGAGCTGGCCTTGAACTTCAAGAGTGGTGACTTTCACCCCCACCCCCCATCCCCAACTGATCCCACCGTGGCTTGGACACTTCAATTTGGCAACCATTGCCTGACCGTACCAGGCTAGCCTGGTGCTATAGGTACCGGCCAGGGTCACTGGGGCCCCCTCGGCTCCTAAGGGCAGGGACATGGCTTAGTTCCTGCCTCGGTTACCCCAGCTGGGCTCCACCCAACCCAAGAACGCTCTAAAATCCAAGCCAGTTTCTTTGGAAAAGAAGCAGCTGGGAAGGTGCCCGCCACCAGGGGCACAGAGACGGAGCTACCCGGTGGGAAACCAGCTGTTCTCACCCCAGCTCTGCCAGGACCTGCTCAGGCCAGAACTCCCACTGTTGAGGGCCCAGCTGCATCTTTGGAAACCTTTCTGGGGGAAGCGGGGGGGAGGACCAGCCTGCAAAGGGTGACCTGTGCTGGAGGACTGTGTCACCACAGCATGCACACGCAGTACATGTGCACACGTGTAAACATGGACCGACCAGATCCCATCTGACCAACAGCAGAGAACTCAGAACATGTGGGAGCGAGGAGAGGGTCCGGGTTCAAGAATGTCCCCCTCCAGAGCCCCACCCACCTGGGAAAGACGCAGGGAGCCCAGCCAGAGTCCTGGCCCTCAGAACCAGGGTCGGGCCCAGCCCAGGCAGGAAGGAAACAGGATGCAGCACAGGAAGGCTGAGGGTGGGAAAGGCGCTGGGCCGGCTTGTCACTGCCCACAGCAAAACTGTGTCCACAGCACAGCTTCTGGGGGCCCAGGGCCGGAGAGTACCCCGTGCCCAACCGGCCTGAATCTCCACGGAGGGGCAAGGACTGGAATGACTGACTACCTGGGATCTGGTCCTCACTCCCCAGCTGCCCAAGCCAGGTCACTACAGGGGACCTGAGGTGTCAGTCCCCGAGGGTCTCTCCCTCCAGGCGGCCCAGGCTCCTCCCACCTGCAGGGCCCCAGTGCTCCCCAGCGGGAGACCCAGGCTGGGCACTGGCTGCAGTCCTGTCCCAATGCACTCTCCTCAGCTGGGAAATGGGACAGCAATGCCTCAGTCAGCTCCATCACTGTACTGAGGGGGGGTGGGGGGGCTGGAGCAGGTAGGAATGTAGTCCGCCCAGATCCCTGGGGCCCTGGCTGAGCTAGTCCTGCTGGCCCAGCACTGGACCCTAGCAGCTGAGCCAACAGCCCATAGTTCACTTCTCCACCAAGGTGTTTCCCTCGGCAGGTAGGTAAACACTGGAGCCTCCCTTCCTCTTCTCTCTGTGGCCCCACCTTGAGGGGCTGCCCCCCCCCCCCCCCCGCCCCGCCACCGCAGCCCTAGGCGCCCCATCCCTAGAGAGCCAAGGGCCAGACGAACCAGGCGCCTGGGGGAAGCTGCGAGGAGCAAGGTCTGGTTTCTATCACCCCCCTCAGCCGGCTGGACTCTCCAGAGGCGCTGGGCAGTGGCCAGCACCTGGCCTTTCTCTCAGGGGAGCAGGAGAGGGTGGGCCAGTGGTCTGGCCTCTGGAGCTGTGCCAGCTGGCTGTGGAAATGGCTCCCTCCCTCCCACCCTAACTGCCAAGAGCAAGGGAGAGCAGAGCGCCGAGGAGCAGTGGGGTGCGTGGGGTGGGATTGGGGGTGAGAGGAAAGCCCCAGATAGCAGCAGGTCCTGACTCCCTTGCAAGTGGGGGGTCTGGGGAGTCAGGGCCGGCATCTCTGTGGCCAGAAGGGCCTGGTTCAAGGGGTGGGCAAGGAAGCCACCTTGCTGGGCCAGGACCTGTTGGGGGGGGGGGGTGCGCAGAGGGGGCGAGGAGGTGGCCTCTGTGCCACTTGTGGACTCGGAGGAGCATGGACTAGGCTGCAAGACACCCCCAGGCCCCACACCAGCAGGTCAAGGGCAATGTACAGGTTTCTCAGCCCTGACCCAGGGAACAGAGGGAACCCCAAACACAGCCACCCCCACAGCTGGGCCTCAGAGGAGGAGCCCCCTTCGGGAGTGGTCCCGGCTGGGACACTGGATTCCAGGGGCCTGGGAACAGGTCCTCTTGCCAGGCTGCTGGGCCTCTCCTGCCGTGGGCATCGACCTGGGCCCAGCAAGGCTGCTGGCGCCGCGCGCCAGCTGTTACCCCGACCAGGGCGGACGCCGGCCCGGCTTTGTTTGCATTGAGTCAGCCGGCTCTGTGTGTCCGGGACCCGCGGGCACCGAGGGGCAGGGAGGGGAGCAGGGAGGTGGATGGGTGGGAGGAGGCGGGGAGAGGCTGAAGATGTAAGACTGGGGGGACGGAGTGGATGGGGGATGGGCAGGGGGTGGACAGCGGCGATGCCGGCTCGGGAAGTAGGCACACGTCAGCCTAAGGTGGCAGCAGCGGCTGCGGGGAGAGATGCTCCCGGGAGAGAAGGCTGGGGGTGGGGGACTGGGACGAGGGGATGGAGCATCGGGTCCAGGCCAAGCGATTTGGCTCTGGCCTCAGTATCACCCGCCGGCCCAGCGGGGTCCCCCATCTCAGGACAAGCCAAGTTCGCGCAGCCCCCCGGCCCTGCCCAGCCCCCAGCCCGGCAGGTGGGTGGGGAGGCCGGGGTCCCGGGCGCACCTGCGTCTTGGTGGTGAGCTGGATCACCGCCTTTCGGAAATTCAGCTTGGAGTCGGCCGACCCCATATCGTTGGAGCCCGCTCCGGCCCGGCCCCGACCCCGACTCCCGCCCCGGCCCCGGCTCGGGATCCAGCTCCAGCTCCAGCTCCGCGGCCCCCGCTGCTCTCGCAGGAGCAGAGCTCAGCACGGCACCCCGCCCGCCGGCCCGGCGTCGGCCCCGCCTCCTCGCGACTCCGCCCTCGTCGGGCCCCGCCCCCTAGTGGCCCCGCCCCCCGGCACCTGCCGCCGGGGAGGCACTGTCCACGGCGGGGTCTGCCTCTCCGACTCAGCTGGACCCGATGCCGCCGCGCCCTTCCCTCTGCGTCGGAGCCTCGACCCCGCTCCAGCCCCAGGGCCCGCGATCCTCCCAGGCCCCCACGCCATCACTGGGCCCACACTTTCTCAGCCAGCTCTCTCCCTTGAGTTTCTTCCTTGTCAATCCTGTCCTCCCCATTCTTATTCTTCTTATTCTTCTTATTATTTTTTTTATTACTATTATTATTACTATTATTTAGTATCTGCTCTCGTGGTTCCCCCTTTTCTGGCCTGTGAAACCCACGTGTCCAGACAGCCCCGGCTCAGCCATCCATTCTGCGCAAGGAAGGTGGACTCAGTGGCCGCTCCAGGAAAGCAGCGCGGGGGTCTGATGAGGGCTGGAGTCCCTCTGGGTCCCACACCTCCTTTCTGGCCACCTGCCTTCCCTGAAAATCCTTTTAAGTCCGTCCATTTTAACAAATGTCTTGAGGGACTGGTATTTAGCAACACTGTCAAGAATGGGAGCACAGGGGCTTAAGTCACAGGGCCTATTCTTTTTTTTAATATATATTTTATTTTTCACAGAAAAGAAGGGAGAGGGATAGTTAGAAACATCGATCAGCTGCCTCCTGCACACCCCCAACTGGGGATGTGCCTGCAACCAAGGTGCATGCCCTTGGCCGGAATCGAACCTGGGACCTTTCAGTCCGCAGGCCAACGCTCTAGCGTCTATCCACTGAGCCAAGCCGGTTAGGGCCACAGGGCCTATTCTTAATGAGCAATTATCTAGAGAGAGAATCAAGAAAAGAATCAGCCGTGATTCAACCAGTGAGCCTTTGATGGAGGCAAAGTAGTAGTAGTAGAAGTAATTAATAATAATGTGACGACAATGTCGCTAACAACAGAATCCCACCTCTGAGGTAAGTATTATCCATATTACCCATTTGGGGAAACTGAGGCTCAAAACATTTAAGTTACTTGCCCAAAATCACACAACTAGTAAGGAGCAAAGCAAAAAAAAAAAAAGGAAATTCAACTCACCCCAAAAGAGGTTGCACTTTTCTGAACATCATCTTGCATGCTATGTCTGGAAGCTTCTGAAAATCCCAGATGCTTCAAAAGGAGGTGGAATTCAGCTTCAATAGGAATTCCACAGCGGAAAAGGGAGGGACGCACCATCGAGGCAGCAAAGGGGTGGCAAAGGCAGAGTAGGACAGGTGTGGAGGCGGGAAGGAGGGGGCAGGGTGTCAGCATGTCCCTGGGTGAGCGGACTGGACAGAGCAGGTCTGTCCTTGCTCCAGGGGTGTGTTTTCCCTGCCCTGGATGAAATCCTGGGCAGGCCCCATGGCTTTTCTGATCGCTCTGAGATAACGAATGAATGGCACCTTTATTTGGCATTAAAAAAACAAATTCAGTCCACTCTACAAAGCACCCAACTCTAGTCCAGCCCAGAGCGACATTAAAAACTCTGAATCTGCCCATCCACAGCGGCTCAGTAGTTGAACATCGACCTATGAACCAGGAGGTCACGGTTCAAATCCTGGTCAGGGCACATGCCCACGGTTTCAGGCTTGATTTCCAGTAGGGGGCATGCAGGAGGCAGCCAATTAATGATTCTCTCCCATCATTGATATTTCTATCTCTCCCTCTCCCTTCCTCTCTGAAATCAATTAAAAAATAAAAATAAAACTCTGCCCTGGCTGGTTTGGCTCAGTGGATAGAGTGCCGGCCTCGGGACTGAAGGGTCCCGGATTCAATTCCAGTCAGGGGTACATGCCTGGGTTGTGGGCTCGGGAGGCAGCCGATCAATGATTCTCATCATTGATGTTTCAATCTTTCTCTCCCTATTCCTTCCTCTCTGAAATCAATAAAAAATATTTTTAAATAATAAAACTCTGAATCTTAGTCATTAAAGAGATGCAGATTGAAACCACAATATGATAACCATTATATACCTACTAGAGGTGGGGTCCCTCGGCCTGGCCTGCGAGGATCCGGCAGAAACTGGCTCTCCGACATCCCCCAAGAGGTCCTGGATTGTGAGAGGGCAGTTCTCGGGTGATGCACCCCAGAATCGGGTTCCCTCCTCTCTGGTTCCCCCACCTTCACTCTTCTCTCCCTCCATTTCCTGCTGGTGCTCCCCACCAGTGGGCCCACAACAAGAGAGCAAATGACCCACAGGTGCAGCCCATAAAAGCTTCAGCCCCCGGGCATGGAGCAGATGGAGACAATGGAAAGAGGTTGGAAAGGGCAAATGGAGCCTGTCCCACAGCCAGGCAGGTGGAGAGAGCGGGAGCAGAAGGAAGGCCCAGAGCATAGAGAGCCTGGGACACCCAGCTGGGGCGAATGCTGAGGACAAGAGATACAGCTCGAGACAGGCCAGGGCCAGCGCATCCTGTTAGGGAGCTTTTATCTCATTCTCTGAGCAACAGGAGCCTTCGAAGCAGGGGAATAATGTCATTATGTCTTAGCAAAGTCATTCTGGCTGCTGCAGGAAAGACAGTGGCTGAACACAGCGAGTCCAGCTGGGAGGCGAGAGAGGATGAGGGTTGACCCTAGGCCAGTGATGGCGAACCTATGACATGCGTGTCAGAGGTGACACCCGAACTCATTTTTTTGGTTGATTTTTCTTTGTTAAATGGCATTTAAATATATAAAATAAATATCAAAAATATACATCTTTGTTTTACTATGGTTGCAAACATCAAAAAATTTCTATATGTGACACGGCACCAGAGTTAAGTTAGGGTTTTTCAAAATGCTGACACGCCGAGCTCAAAAGGTTCACCATCGCTGCCCTAGGCAGTCACCGGTGATATGGTGACTAAGGATGCAGGTGATGATGGGGATGTGGAATCTTGATTGTCAGTTGGATGCATATTCTAGGCTAGGTACTATTGCTACTTCCCCACCAAACTTGGCGTCAAACCATAAACTTGGTTATAAATGAAGCAGTCAGTAATTCAGCTGAGGGGGCTTGTGCCTTCTCCACAGCCACTAGGGTCTCAGCAGGGGAGACTAGAATGGCCAGGGGAGGGGTTAACTCGGCACAGCTGGGTGCTGGAACCACCTGGAGGCTTCTTCACTCACACCTGGCATGTCGGGAGGCCAGGAGGCCATAAAGATGGGGCCCATCGGGGGCTGAATCTGGAATCATCAGCATGGGACCCACTGTGTGGCCTGGGCCTCGCACAGCAAGGCCCCAGTTTCTGAGAGTGAGTGTCCCAAAGGGTGCACAACAGAAAAGGTGTCTGAGCCCCCAGCCAGTGTGGCTCAGTTGGTTGAGTGTAGGCCTGTGCACTGAAAGGTCGCCGGTTCGATTCCTGGTCAGGGCACATACCTAGGTTGCGGCAACCAATCACCAATGTTTCTCCCCCACCCCGCCCTCTCTCCCTTCCTCCCTCTCTAAAATCAATAAACACATCCTCAGGAAACATACCCTCGTATCCTCGGGTGAGGATTTTTAAAATGTAAAGAAAACAAGCTGCCACATTGTGGGTGATTCTCTTCTCCACACTTCGTCCCACCACACCCCGTCCTTCTCTCTCCTGACCTTTGTCTCTAAGTCTCATCTCAGTAAAGGGCACTTCCCCCCAAATCAGTGTCACCCTTGACGCCTCTCTTCTTGCCACCCCAAGTCCAATCCATCACTGCATCCTGATGCTATTCTCCAAACATGTATCATCTCCACTGCCCCCCTCGCCAGAGCCCCATTGTCCCCCATCCACAGCGGCCTCCGCTCCTGCCCCCTCTAATCTCTTCTCTGCAGAACAGCGGGCAGCTGTGAAGTGCAGCTCACAACACTCCCCCACTGAAAGCACCTCGGAGTCCTTCGCTGGGAACAACTTCTTCAGGCTGCATGGTGACCTCCCAGTCCATGTGCTCCCCTCCCCTGGAGTCCCGGCTCCACACACTGATCTTCCCACATGTCCTCAAACCCCCTGAGCTTGCTGCCCCAGATCTCTGCACAGATTGTTCCTTCTACCTGGGACAGCCCTCCTCCTCCTCTTCGTGTGCCTGTCCCCTTCTCATTCTTGGGGTCTTATCTTTTTTTTTTATATACTTTTTTATTGATTTCAGAGAGAGGAAGGGAGAGAGAGATAGAAACATCAATGATGAGAGAGAACCATTCCTTCTCACCCCTACTGGGGATCGAGCCCGCAACCCAGGCATGTGCCCTGACCAGGAATCGAACCCTGACCTCCTGGTTGACACTCAACCACTGAGCCACACCGGCCAGGCAGGGGTCTTATCTTTAAAGCCTCTTTTCCTGACAGATTTCCCATCCCCAGCAGTTGTTATTTCAGCTCCTGGTGTTCCCTAAAACTTTACCACCGTTTTAAATACGTTTGTCTCTTTATTTGGTTTACTAGAGGCCCGGTGCACAAAAATTTGTGCACTGGGGGGAGGGTCCCTCAGTCCAGCCTGTGCCCTCTCGAAGTCTGGGACCCCTCAGGGGATGACCACTTGCTGGCTTAGGCCTGCTCCCCGGGGGATTGGGCCTAAGCTGGCAATCAGACATTCCTCTGGCAGCCCAGGAGCCCTCAGAGGATGTCCACTTGCCAACAGAGAGCAGGCCTAAGCTGCAGTCTGACATCCTTAGTGCTGCTGAGGAGGCAGGAAAGGCTCCCACCACCACCACCGCTGTACTGGCAGCCATCAGCCTGGCTTGTGGCTGAGCAGAGCTCCCCCTGTGGGAGCGCACTGACCACCAGAGGGCAGCTCCTGCATTGAGCGTCTGCCCCCTGGTGGTCAGTGTGTGTCATAGTAACCATTCATTCCCAGTCCTTCTGCTGTTAGGGTCAGTTTACACATTACCCTTTTATTATATAGGACAGAGGCCTGGTGCATGGGTGGGGCCAATTGGTTTGCCCTGAAGGGT